TTTAACAATAATTTGGCATAAAATGAAAGCTATCTGTCACTGACTGAGCTATTAAATAATGCTTTTGCTTTCCATATTTGAAATTTCATCAAACACTGAGTCATTTCTTTTTACTCACAGAGTAAAAATTTTCTACCTGGGCATCAGTTACTTGGAACTGCACAGAAATAAATTGATTAAATATATATTTTAAAGTGTTTATATATTAAGAAAAAAGCCTTTGTCCTGCATCATAAAGCATATATTTTTCATAATTACTTCACTGTGAATACTTATATACTATAGAATGGGATGTTTATCTGAAAAGCACAATTGAGTTAAGTGCTGGGAAGTGGGCTGGGAAAAATGCTTTCTAGACCTAATATCCTGGTTGTCTCCTCACTAATTTTTTTTTCTTTACAGGCTTTTATCAAGTAAATACTTTTCATTACTCTCACTTGCAGCCCTTTTCCTATTCATCTTACTACCAGTTGCCTATAGCCTTTTTTATTTGTTTGTTTGTTTGATTTTTAGCCTCTCTTTATTATTTACTTTATAGGTTACTTAAGGTGATGAATATATGTAATAGTCCTTTGTCCTCCTATTTCCCCTCAATAAAAATCCTGTGAGGTGGGCTGAGCTGAGAGAAAGTGACTGATCCAAGGTCACCCAGCTGGCTTTTATGCCTAATACAGGAGCAGAATTCACAGACTCCTGGTTTCTAGCCTGGTGCCTTAATGGCCAGAGCAACCTGGCTGTTTATGTAGCCCTGCTATGGCCTATCTGCAGAAGGGTTTACATTGGATTTCTATATCCTGGAATTGCATTTATTGAACTGGTCCATTGGGAAAGGTTATGCATTGCATTTTCCCCATTTAATTGCTTGCCTTTCCTGGGTTAAATTAGAAAATCTAACCTCCAAGGAATTTGCTGACTGATCTTATTTTGATCAACATACTGACCTGTCTTTCCCATTGATCCAGTTAAGCATATTATAGGAACAGGGACACAGGGAGGGAAGAGGCAATAAGACTGAATCAATGGGCATAGGTTGCAATAGACTAGAATTTAGTTGAAAGCTACAAAAAATGTTAATAGTGAGAGTAATTTGTCAGAAAGAACCAATTGCCTAGGGTGGAGGATTACAGATGTTAAACACAAAACTAAATCCTTGAGCTGTGTGCCCAAAACAATGAGGAAATTGGCTCAAGATTTTAAAAAAGGTTATTTCGTTTAATTTTAAATTATAGGTAGTCCTCACTTAATGACAATAATTGTGACCAGCAATCCTATCATTAGAACATAGAACAATAGAGTTGGAAAGGACCTTGGAAGCCTTCTAGTCCAACCCCTGTTTTAATAGGAGACCCTATACCATTTCAGATAAATGGTTGTCATGTGATCCTCATTTTTGCTGGCTTCCCCACTGAGTTTGCATGTTGAAAGTTAGTAGTGAAGATGGCAAATGGCGATCACATGATGGCATGACTCTGTAACTATCATAATCACATGCTGGTTGCCAAATGTCCAAATCATGATTACATTATTGTAGAGACACTGTGACAACTGCAACTACAAAGACTGGATATAAGTGTCCTAATTCAGTACCATCATAATTTGAAGGATCACTGAATGAGATGTTAAGCAAGGACTAACTGTAATTAAATACAACTAAAACAATTACTCCCAAGTATCTAAGCTTGGTTATCTTCTTCCATATTAAAATGCACAATTTGTCAGCAGTTTTGGAGTTTCTTCAAGCCATTTCCCCCTTTCCTTGTCAAGACAGAACAACTTTTGCCAGATATTTTCTTCCATATCACTTTCAACCTGGTGATATTACCAAGGAAAAAGCAGGCTTAAAGGACTTGACCAAGAGCACAAACACATATAGAAATCTAAAGTTGAGTGAACAATTCCTGAGACTGAGGAACAGAGAAGCCATGTTAATGTGAAAAAAAAAAAAATAGAAACAGTTCCCAAATGAAGAACTGCAATATTACTGATAATGGTGATGTTGATTTAGGAACAATTTCTTCCTACCCTGGTTTGGCTCTGATGAATTACCAGTATCATGAGAGATATGTGGAGACAGAAGAATGGCAGACAAGTGGCAATAAATACATGGAGGGAACAACCACAATACTGCAAAAAGAAAACAGAACTGAATATGCAGAAATGAAGTAACTGTGATAAAAGCTCACACTTTGGTTTTCATTTGGAAAGCCTTCAGTTTCTCTCTTATTCTTGATCGTTTAAAATTTATCTGACTATTATTCTTGGCAATGATTTTGTCTAAGTAGCTGCCAAGTCTGTGTCAACAAGTGGAAGTTATCTTCTTTTTGCTCCTGTCCCCTAGGCTAAAGTATTGGTGTGAATGTTTTTGCAATTCAACTTTTTTGTGAACAAAATTCCATGGCTTAGAATTGTTTCATTATTACTCTGTGTCCATATTTTGTAATACATATTTATGCAAAATGATGTACATCTAAGAATTTTTGATGTTTTTAATCCTATTTTGTTTGCCTTTTTAAAATAGTATAATATAGCAAAACAAAAAGTAAATTTTAAACCAAAGAATAATTTTGTATAGGTGGAACATTAGATCATTTCTATATGAGTTAATATAAAGTTCAAAAACTTCAAAGTATACCTTGAATTCTAGGACATGTTAGAATTATATTTATGCTTTTGTTATTCAAGAATTCAAAATCAGAGAAATTTCTTTAACTAATAAAGTTTATACTTTGAACTGGCTTTCAAAAACAAAACAAGAAAAAGAATCAGTATGACACAACTGAATAGTGATAATGTATACATAAATAATCCCACATATCACGTAAGCTGAATGCTGTGGGAAGGGTATTCAAAAATATGTATGATCAAACAGGAAGAGACATAATTAAGATTGTGGGTGCTGAATGATTGAAGACAAACATAAATGATCAGTATAAAAGAAGTAGATTGAGATAGTTTATTCATTAAAAGAGAATGAATGAAGATCAAATCACAAAAAAAAAATAATGAAGAAAGAGTAAATGAGCAGGAGATTGAAAGTCATGGTTGAAATGGAGTTGGTTAAATTCTCATGAAGAGGGAGCTAAGAAATATAAACAATAAAAATGGATATCAAATGGATCATAGCTGTAGTGGATGCAAGAATGATTTGCAACAATACAAAGATATAAGTGCTACAGTAAATGTTGTGGTATAAACTAGATTTAGCTGTATTTCTTTTTTATTTTTGTCTCATGCCTTTAATTTCTGTATTTTTATAAGCCTTCATTTGTTTCTCTGTAATCTCTTTTTAAAAATTAATTCTGTTATTATTCCAGGTCAATTATTTATCTTCAATTATTATATAATCTAATATTATATAATTATAGAAAAAAAAACACAAAATAGGAACTACATGTAAAACTACAAAATAAAACAAAAAACAGAAAAATGGAAGTTATGCAGGCTACATGACCAGATGTCAAACACATTTTTCTTAGGGGAAAAAAAAAAAGCTTATGGCAGATTCTGCAATATTTGAAAACATCATAAAATCCATGCCACTGAAAATCATACTGAATCATTTTTTATTAATACTTAAAATGGTCTTTTCAAAAAATTAATTTGTGTAGTTTATTATTTCTTATCCCATTTTTGTACTCTAAATTTTCTCATAAAGGAATAGCATGTTGGATATGTATAGTATATTCGTATATATGAGGATATTTTCACAAAGATCTGATTCTTGGTAGTAATCCACAATTTAAATAGGCAACAAACCAATAGCATACTTCTATTTGATACTGTTGTTTAGATTTATTTGCCTTTATAATAAATCCTCACCTGTCCATTCAAAATATTGTCCTGAAAATATATTAAAGCAGGAAAGTCAATGAGTGTTCTTGGATATATGATTACCATAATAAGATCACAAGGTTATTGTAGAGAAAAATAAGGGATAAATCATGAACATTGCCTTAAACTCTTTAAAGCAGAGGTGGATGATGTATGAGCCACACGTAGCCCTCATCCAAATGTTTATGATTCCTTATGTCCCTCCCTCCAGTTTTCCAAGTGAAAGAGTTATTTGACAGTAGAGCCAAAGAGGTGGTATGCTCCCCTTCATTGTGTTCAAGCAATGGCTAAACAGTCATCTGGTTGGGTTGTCTTTAATTGGATTCCTTCACTGAGGAGTCCTGTACTTAGTTGTAAATGGTTCTTCCATCTTTTTGAATCTAAGACAGCACTGCCAAATTTAGGGAAAGTAATGGTAAGATCCTGAAACTATTTTTACTGAGAAAACATTGCACACTGGAGTTTTAAAGCAGTACTATACATTTTTTTTTCTTTTCAACTGTTATCCCAATCCTCCAGTATTAAGAAAGTCTTATTCTTGGAGCCTTACACTCTTCTGGCATGCCACTGGTTGGCTACCTTGCCTCTGGCAGGCCTCTGAAATAAAACTAAGAGAAAGAAAAGAAAAAGTGGAATCCCCAGTCATGGGCAGATAGCTAATACATGAAATAAGCCAATGAATTAGTAATGTGCAAAAGCAAAATGACAGAACATCCTGCTGGGTCATTCCAAAGAAAAACTCAGAATAAGATATAGCCATTAAGATATATTAAGCAACCATAAATGTTTTAAGGAAGCTGTGTCACTGCATGCAGTTCTCAGGCTCTTTCATCTGCATTTTCTAAATGGTGACCTCATATTTCCTTCTTCTATTCCAACATGTCATATACAGTCATATGTCAAAAAAGAATAAATTAGGCAAAATTGCAAAAATAGCTCACTGGTCAATAGCATTTATTCTGAACATGTCTGTTGCACAGAAAATCATTTTCTTTTCACACAAAACTAGTCTGCTAATGAATAAACCAAAGTATTTGCCTGCAGAATTCTGAGGAAGCTGCTCAGGAAATCCTATCCAAGTGAAACAATTGGAGGAAGTTGACACAGACATTAAGATGTTTAACAAGAGAAGTAGGAGGAGGGAGGAACCAGTACCTAGCATGATGTAAGTGGGGATGGAGAATTTAAAGCAAGAACACAACTGCATCAGGTAATTTTCACTTACTTTGATAGCCACAATTCAGAGCAGAATAAATGTGGCAGGAAGATGGGGAACGAAAATCAATGCCTCAGTGCTGAAAATTTGCAGGTTTACTTCAGATGATGCATCTTCTTCCCTCCATTGTATCTTGGGGAAAAAGAGAATGGGATGCCCCCCCTGGGACAAAGATAACACAATATCCATAGATAACTCAACACCTAAGCTGCTTCTTTCCTGCCTGGGAAATCAAAGCAAGGCATGTCTTGATAAGGTAGAGTGAGGAAAGACTATGATCTAGTAAGTGGTCTCTTTGGAGTCATTAGACAAAATCCAGAGGAAATGAGAGGAAACTGAATACTCTTAAACCCCACTAAAATCAATAAGATTAATTTACTCAGACAAACACTAAAAGTTCCAATTATTTCAGAGACCTTAGACCTATTTTATTTCCTTTAGAGAGTATCCTTTGACAGTCTGTTGTCTGTAGCATTCCACTGTAATGGCAGCCTTCCCCAACCTGAGAAGCTCTTGTATTTAGCTTTCTGCCTTATATTCACAGTGAAAGCCATAATGGGAGTTCTATGAAGTGCATGCCATGCATCTGCAGGATACCTGGCTTAAGCTGGGGAGTATCAGGTTTTTAAACAGGATATTATGGCATGTCTGGCCCAAGAGCTGGTGCATTCAGCCAGGTGCTACCCATCAATGAGCAAGATCAATGGTGATGGATGGGCTGGAAATAATAATTCAAAATCTTCTAAAACAGTGTTTCTTAATCCTGGCAAATTTAAGAAGCATTGACTTCATTTCCCAGAATTCCCCAGACAGCATGGCCTGCAGGAGAATTCTGAGAGTTGAAGTTCATGCCTCTTAAAGTTGCTAAGGTTGAGAAACACTGTTCTGGAACAAGAGAAGAAACAGAATCCTATTTTAGCCTATATGGCCATCTGTAGCTGTTGTCAACAGTACTTATTATCCCACAGAAGGGACTGAAAAGAGTATTTCAATTTATAGTTAAGAACTTGGGTGACATTAATTACTCAAAACAACTTGGTTTTGCTACACATTATCAAAAAATCACAAAAGGAAACCTTGAGAAGGCAATATTATATTTGTGTGGTTAATCAAACCGATAGGAAGGAAGCCTGCAAGAGAGACAAAGAAAAAGAAGCAACTGGGCTAATAACTTTAGAAGCAGTTCATGAGGGAACAAGGCATAAAGAAATGAAATGAGCTCTTTTATACTATGTCCTTTGATTGTTTCCAATGCTGAAGATTCTTGGGATTTTATTGCAGTGTTCTATCCTAGTACCTTCAATTGCTTTATTTATGGGCTGCAAATAACTCAAATTTTCTCTAGTTGCTCTTCTCTTTAGTGTTTTCATATATATTTATATACAGTATTTTCAAATATATTTAGGTCAAGATATTATTGACTTCACTTGGTGCATTGTTTGTAGCATTTAGGAATGTTAAAAGAAATCTTAAAATGTTAAAAGGAATCTTAAAAGAAATAAGTTTCCAATTAAAGAAAGCAAGTTCATTTTCCAAAACAACTTTGGTTTCCCCCCCCACAGAGAATGGTTCAATCTATATTTCTTTGGCTTGTCTGGTTTTACTCAAAGAAGTATCTTCTCCTTAAAAAGTTTGAAAGTGAACAAAATGAAATAAAATTTACTCTAATAAGTACAATAGGATAAATTACAGAATAAGAAATTGCTTTTCTAGATTTCTGTCTTTACCCTGAGATATCTTTGAGTTAAGTACCCTGATGAATAAATGACTGGCACTGCAATTTTATCCCTATCTTTCTTCCGTGACCTTAATGAGGCTTACTACTTCAGTCTAAATGATGGATATCTTTCCCCCTTTCACACCTTCAAGGCTGATAGCAGTGTCAGCGTACATTAGACCTTTAGACCTGAACAATCTTTTAAAATTTTCTGATTGTGACTCTTCAAGTGGGGGTATGCAAAGAGCCCCTCAGCACTATATTGAAAACTAATTATCCCTACAATTAACTCCTTTCAAATAAAATGTAGCTGTGAATTAATCATTAAGCAAAATAAACATGTGCTTATAGGACCAAGACATGGATGGCACTACAACAGATTTTCCCCTAGTGATCATGCCATTAACTCTTTCACTTCCCTACTCCAGTATTTTTTTTTTTTTTTTTGTAATTATCTTATCTGTCATGTTCATCTTTAATCTGCATTGTCAAAAGCCAGTTTTTTGTTTTTTGTTTTGGCATGGTGAGTGACTAAATTTTAAAAGTTTAATTTGAAGAATTTATTTTTATCTAGTGGCATGAGGTTTTCACTTCTGTTAAGGGACACCATTTTGGGGCTGTTCTTAGTGCATTAGTTGGCCTTAATCTGGTCCTGGTAAGGTATCATACATGCTTACAGTCAAGGTACAAGATGTACAATGCCATAGGTCCAATCTGTAATGCACATACTTGCTCTCTTCTTCGCGCTCAAAATATTTATTAAATAAAAATATTTAATAACAGGAGTTAAAATCTATATTTACATTTTTTTAAAAAAAAGCTCCCATACTTCTGTTGAACACATTATTTAATGGAATCCACAGGTTATTCATACATACAAATATACCAATTATTGTATTCACTTTTGATATGATTTGTAATGTTATAAATTCAGAGCTTGTGAATGCTTAAAAGCAGGTTTGTAATCAATTCTATATTTGTTCTGTCAAATTCATGCTTAATGTCTGTACCAATAGGACCATAGGAACAATCCTTCAAGATGGCAAAGTTCCTGTCTGGTCCACAATTCTGTGTCATAGTGGCTATCCAGATGCATGAAGTCCACAACTATGAACAGAAGAATGATACTGTTCACTGTTGCTCCCTACTAAATAGTGCTGCTTGTGATTCCAAAAGTAGTAAGTAGCATTAGAACTAGTAGCTATTAATAGCCATACATTCCATGAATTCATCTAATCCCTGGCTAACCCTTCCTAATTAATAGCCATCACCACATCAGACATAAACAAATCTCACACTTTATGTAACTTGCAAAAAGTATTTTATTTATTAGTGATACAGCTTTTGTGTACTCCATAAATAGTTTCAATAGATATTCCCCAAATCCTGACTTCTCTGCATTTTTTTGTCATAGCAATCACATTTTCTCTAAGCTAAGGGCAAGTAGGATTGATCGTTATGAATAGTTGTATGGGACTTCCAATTCCGGGTTGCAGTTCTGAGATCGTTCGGAGAGATTCGTCTCTTCACTGGCCGAGTTTCCCCTGCCGGTAGACCCTTGATTGGGTCGAAAGTCGCCCTGGAGGGGTGACCACCGTTGAGGAGGCTGCCTGTTTGACTGCAGAGGGGCAGCAGCATCCTCTGCAGTCCAAGCAAGCTCCTTTGGGCCGACGGAGTAAAGATCGATCAGTAAAATGCCAATCACTTAGCTGTACCATCTGTAAGCCACAAGAACATCTAAGCCAGGCATGTCAAACTCACAATGTCATGTGACGTCATGTGATGTATTTTCGGCAATGGGGTGGGCACGGCTCTGGTATGATGAAACTGGCCCGTGGGCCGGCAGTTTGACACCCCTGATCTAAGCAAAATAGAACCACCGTGGAAGATTTGGTGAGACCTTTTCTTGCCTCTCCCTTTCCTATTTACTCCTGTGAAAAGCCTTTGGAATCATTTCCCTATCTTTTTAAAATGGCTTTGTTGATGGGAGAAGAAAAGCCTTGGAACAAAAGAAAAATTAATTTTAACTTTTTCAATGGTTGATTTTATTTTTGAATATTTGGGAGTCCTAAAATCCCTGTTATAGAAACTTAATATGCTAGCAATTTAGAGAATTTTTTTTCTATTTTCTACTATTTTTATAACTAAAGAAAAGAAGGAAAAAAGGAAAAGAGGAAAGAAATTATTTTTATTGGGGGTCTGGAAAGACTGAACAACTGGTTAACCCTCTGGGGACATCTTGTGGTGAAATTATTTACTGCAATTGTTATTCCCTTTCTTTGGACTCTGAATCTGACTTTGACCTTCAAATTATCTCAAAAGGGAAAGATAAAGAAGCTGTATAGCTGGTGGAAGTGGATATTGACTGATTGTTATTAAATACAGCCTCCACCAAAAGAATAATGGCTTTATATCAGTGGTTCTTAACCTTTTTAATGCCGTGACTCCCAACCAGTTGTAAGTTGAGGACTACTCAACTGGTCGTAAGTCGAGGACTACTCAACTGGTGCAGCACTGTTTGCAGAATGGGACTTTTGGCGGGCTCAGCAGGGCAGAGACAGTCTGGACAATTCCTACTGGCTTTTGAAAGCCAATAGAATTAGACTCTATTCAAGAGAGTCTATTCTATTGGCTTTCAAAAGCCAATAGAATAAAAGGGAGTAGCACAGCTAAGGAAAAGGGGGGAAAATGGCAGACTGCGTTGTTTGGCGACCCCCATGAAATGGTTGTTCGACCCCAAATGGGGTCCCGACCCACAGGTTGAAAACCACTGCTTTATATACTACTGTAATGGAGGAACTCTGTCCAGATTTCAATTACAAGTGTATATTGGACAAAATTCTTGAAAATACTGAACAATACTATACAAAAGAGATTATTTTTCAACGACAAATCAAAGTGCAAGGTGTAAGTGAGCACTTTGTAAGTGAAGAAACAACAGAAGGGGTATAGAATTAAACTTACAGGACTATCAACCTACACCGGAAAAAACTTTTGATGCTAATGAACAAATGACTTTTAGCATGGAAACTAAGGATGTTACCCCAGAAGGGCAGGCTGATCTCCATACTCCAACTGATTACCTGACAGATGAAAAACCAATAGGAGGAGAGCAAAATAATATTAAAGAAGACTCTACATTATTTTATAGACAATCTATTGAGACTTTGGATGATTCAAAAATGACTGTAATTAAACTAGATGCAACTTCAAAAAAGAAGTTGAAGAGCGTTCAGAGGCTGCAGTTGGTTCAGAATGCAGCCGCGAAAGCGATTGT